CTCACAAGCCAAAGGAGTTGAGGAGCCAGTTTAACTGTCACACTTGTTCAATTCCTGGTAACACACACACACACACACACACACACACACACACACACACAATCCATTCAGGCCAGGCTTTGGATAAATGTCTCCTGAAGGCTCAGGTGTTAATGAAGGTCCTCAGCCCATGGTGGTACGAGGAGGTGCTGGGGTTTTAGGTCTCCAGGGCATCCTTGGAAGGGGATATGGGACTCTGGATCCCTCTCTCTCTGCTTTCCACCTGCCAGGATGCGAGTAGCTTTTCAGCCTTGTCCTTCCCACCAGTGTTGGCCTCACTGTAGCTCCAGAAGCATTGGGGCGACCAGCCAAGGCCCAAGAGCTCTGACACCATGAGCTGAAATACGCGTTTATCTATTTTTAAGTTATCTCTAGTTATATTTTAATAGTGATGGAAATATATTTTACTCTTAAAATAATACTTAGCTAAAAATATACATAAAGCAGGGCATGGTAACTCCCGCCTGTAATCCCAGCACTTGGGAGGCTGAGGCAGGAGGAGGCACTGTGAGTTCAATTCAAGGCCTGCCTGAACTAAACTGCGTAGTGAAACCCTGTCTCAAAAACACCAAAAAGAAAAAACAAAGAAAAAAGAGTTTTCTTTCTTTATATACTTATTCTATAAGTTTTTTTACTTATAAATTAAAAAAATTTTTTTTTACCTTTCCAACTCTTTTGTTAAAAACTAAGATCTGTGTAGCCTAGGCCTACCCGAGTCAGGATCATTACCACATCTTGTGACTCTGGAAGGTTTTCAGGGGCAATAGCACATACAGCACGTCCTGTGATGGCACACCTCCAGGGTTCCTCCTTGGACCTGTCTGAGCCTCCCCTTGAGCAGGTATCATTTTCTGCAGAGTCACAGTGGTTTGCTTGGTTTGTTCAGGGTCACACTAAATTGCCCAGGCTGGCCTCCAACTTGTGATCCTCCTGCCTCAGCCTCTAGAGCCGCTAGAATCACAGGCATGGCCCACCATGCCCAACTTCTTTTTCCTTCTCATCCTCTTCTTCTTTTCCTTTTTCTTTATCATAGATTGTTTGTAAGCAGCTAATGCACTATGAACATCCCTCTTTATTAATGAAAACATTTTTTTGGTAGCACTAGGGATTGAACCTAGGGCCTTGCATAAGCTAGGTGAGCACTATACCACTGAGCCATTCCCCTAGCCCCATGTTTCCAACTTTGTGTGTGTTGTATGGGGATTAAACCGAGTGGTGCACTACCACTGAGCTACATTCCCGGCCCTTTTTATTTTTTATTTTGAGACAGTCTCACTAAGTTGCCCAGGCTGGCCTTCAACTTGTGATCCTCCTGCTTCAGCCCCGAGTGCTAGGACTATAGGACTGTGCCACTGTTCCTGGCTTGTTTTCAACTACTGTATTTATTTATTTATTTATTTATTTCGGGACAGGGTCTCACTATGGAGTTCAAGGCTGGCCTTGAACTCATAGAAATCCTTCTGTCTTAGCTTCCTGAGTACTGGGATTACAGGCATGTGCCATTACACCCAGCTTTTTTCAACTTTAAAAATTTTTTTTTTTCTTTTTTCAACTTTTAAAGAAGCTTACTGAGGTCTGCAAAAGCTGAATTTTCTTGGGGTTCTTCTTCATTTTTTGTAGTTTCCTTTTCTCTTGCTTCTTCTTCAGTTATGTGTTTGCCAAATGATAAGAAATTTTCAGTTCTCTTATAATCTTATAGGACCACTGTCAAATATATGGCCCATTTCTTTCTTTCTTTCTTTTTTTTTTTTTTTACCAAAACATTGTTGTACAGCACAGAATTGTAATAGATTCTTCCCCAAACTTCCAGCCCAGCCACAGGTGTCCTAGCCTTCACTTTACTGCAGGGGCACACGCACTCTACTTGGTCACTTCTCACAGACCCCTGTGCTTATTCACACTCCCCGCAGATCCCGCCTCCATCCATCACTTCCCTAAGGATTCCACTTCCCCCACCCTCCCCCCATACTCCTTTCCCTCATGTCCTTTCTGTGAAAGCCTCTGCCTCCATCTCTTCCCAGACTGTTTCTTTCCCCACACTCACTTCTGGCCCTGCGCTGCCCTCAGACCTAACCCCGTGCTCTCCCTCCCTCTGCTCACACTCTGGGTCAACCAGTCGGCTCACCTCCTTCTCACTTCTGCATGGCGCATCTTCATTGGCTCATTTCCTCCCACTTCTTCCCTTCCCAAACTTCTTACTCTGCCTTTTACAGTTCTTCTTCCTTACCAGCCTCTTTCATCTTGTTTCTCTATCCATCTCTAGCCTGTGCCCAGAGCTGGCTCGACCCTGGAGCTCCACTTCTGCATAGTGCCCCTGGGTGGAGGTTGCCTGTGCTCTTACACCCTGGATGGAAGGATCTCACTGGAAGAGAGGCTTGTGTAACCCAGTTCAAGTGCCCAGAAATCTGCATGCCTCCTTAAATCATCTCACTCTCATTCTCCACTGCTGCTATGCTATTCTAATCTTTCTATTTTTTGTGGGGAGAGGTCTTGCTATGTTGCCCAGGGTGGTGTTGAACTCATCTTTTATTTTCTTTTTGTAGTGCAGGCCGGCCCCAACCTCATGGCAATTCTCCTGCGCCAGCCTCCCGGGTGCTGGGATTACAGATGTCACCTTCACACCTGGCTGAACTCATCTTTTTGCCTCAGCCTGCAGAATGCACCATCTTGCCAGTTTCTTTCTCTGCTCTTTTCAGCCTCACACAGCATCTCTAATCCCTTCCTCACTGGCTGATGCTCTGTCTCTATTTCTCAGAGAAAGTGGAAGCCATCAAAAAGAATTTCCCACAACTTCGTTATCAAACCCACCAAAGTAGTAATGTCAACACACATGCTTCCCTTCTGCCACATACAAATGTGCCTCCACCTTTAAGTGAATTTCCCCATCAATGCTCTGCATCTCTTGCTTCTTTCTGCAGGATATCACTCTCTCTGCTATCTTATTTTCTCTATAATTTAGTCTTTTATCTCTTTGTTGAATCTATGCCAACAGCATCTTTTCCCACCTGAATCAAAATCCACCCCTCTTTCCAGCTATTGCCTTCTCTTTCTTCTCTCTCTCTCTTTTTCTTTTTTTTTGTCTTTTTGAGACAGGGTCTCACCATGCAGTTCAGGCTGGCCTTGAGCTCACTTTGTAGCCCAGGCTGATCTTGAACTCCCAATGATCCCCTGCCTCAGCCTCCTGAATGCTGGGATTACAGGTGTGCACCACCACATCCGGCTTTTTTCTTCTCTTGAACAGCCAAACTTCTCTGCATGCTAAGCAAATGCTCTACCTAGACTGAACAATAGCCCCAGTCTAAACTTAACCATACTTTCACATGCAATCTTTACCTCTTTATCTTCCCATTTACCTTTCAAGCCACTGTAATTGGAGCTCTGCTCCCATTATTCCACTGAAACTGAACTTGCAAAGGTTACCAACTTCCTTGTTTCTAAATCCAATGGCTTCATTCACAACTCATTTTGCTCGATTGCTAATCAGTCTTCAACATTTTCCTCCCCTGGCTTCTGAGACACTGCGGGGTTCAATGATGGTTATCTTCTTACCATCTTGGACACTTCATCTCAAATACCTGTGCAGGCTTACCCTTCTTTGCCAGACCCTCAAATCTGGGTACTTCTCAGCACTCTGTCTCAGGCCCTCTCCTCTTTTTACATATACCCTCTGGGCAAGCCTAACAAATCTGCTGGTGTGGCTGTCTTCCACAAGGCCCTACAGAGCCCCAGTTTTCCACTTCCAGCTTGGACGCATCCTGTGACCTCTGATCAGGCATACTCAGCTGCCTCCTTGACATCTCCAATTCGCATGTTCTACAGGCACCTCACATTCAGCATGCCCAGCATGGACTCCTAAAAGCCTTGCTTTCTCCTTCCTGTTGTTCAGAAAACCAAACATCATCATTTCTCCTATTATATTCCAAAACACGTGTCTGATCATTACTCTACTGTTTAAGGCCTGATGACCCCTCCACCGGCTCACAATAAATCTAGGAACTTATGTTCATAGGTGTAAAATGCATTGGATTTTTTTCTCCCATCAGCAAAACCTACCTATAAATTCAAGGCTGAGGTTTAACATCAAAGATGCTCCAGGAGGCCGGGAGTGGTGGCGCACACCTGTAATCCCAGCACTCCTGAGGCAGGAGGATCGCTGTGAGTTCGAGGCCAGCCTCAGCAACAAAGTGAGTTCAAGGCCAGCCTGAAGTGCATAGGGAAACCCTGCCTCAAAAAGACAAAAACAAACAACAAACAAAAACTCCCGCCAAAACAAAACAAAGATTCTCCAGCATCTGGCTTTGCTCTTCCAAGGTTTCTCTCACATCAGTCTCTGCCCTGGCCAGAGATCCTTCATGTCATTTCCGGTACTCGGCCCTGGCTGTCCCTTCTTTGGGGGCCTCCAAGGAGTCCTTTTTTCAAGTCTCCAAGTCTGTCAAGGCCCAACTCAGAACCATCCCTATCACAGTGCTCCTTCTCTGATTTTGAGCTTTTAATCTTCTATACTAGTTATTCCCCGCACAGAATTAATTTGGTTCTATGATTTCTCTCCCTGCTCCGTTAAGATTTATAGTCAGGGCCAAAAACCTGACAGTCGGAAGATCCCAAGGAACCTCTTTTTTTTTTTTTCGTTTTTTTTTTTCCGGTACCGGGAATCGAACTCACGACCTCGCGCTTGCCAGGCAGGCGCTGTCATTTCCGGTACCCTGAGCTAAATCCCCAGCCCCTGAGGAACCTTACTCAGCCCATATGTGGCACAGAGTAGGCGCTCAGTAAATGTCTGTTAAATGCGAGGACAAACCAAGGAAGCTATACTTCCTAGTCCCTCGTTGCCTCCAGAAGCCGGGCATTCAAGAGAGTCCCAGGGAAGACTTTCGCCTCCCCGCGCCCTCAGGCGGTCGGATACGCCTCGCCCCTGGACCGGTTGGAACGCGCCGCAGAGGCCATTTTGTACGGTTCTCTACCTCCAGCCCTCGGAGCTGCGGGTAGCAGAGGATGGAAGCGGTAGCTAGATGAGTCAAGTCAAAGAGCACTGTCTTCCGCCGGGTAGGCTAAGACGCGGTGGCCAGAAGAGACCCTCCGTATCCGCAGAATACGCGACTCTCCCGCCGACTCTACCAGTACAGCAGAGTGGGCGACTATCTCTGACCGGCATCCCGGCTGACCAATACCTGATCCGATCAAGAGGGAGAGGCGGGGCCTGGTTGCTATGGCAGGACTAGTAGGGAGCAGCGAAAGGCTCAGAAAGACTCCGGAGTTGCTAGGGAGGAGGTCACAGAGCGCGGCTCTGGGATTGGGCAGTGTCGGGAAGAGGGTGGGAGGGGCGGTGCGTGGGCGGCGCCCAGGATGCCCCGGGCGGCGGCGCGGGAGTGCGGACGGGAGTTCCGGTGCTAGGACAGTGCGGAGGGTCGGCGCCTTCGCCATGGCCCAGGCTGAGCTGGACTACACCATCGAGATCCCGGATCAGCCCTCCTGGAGCCAGAGTATGGAACGAGGGTCGGGTCCAGTCCTGGGGAGGTGACCTGACGAGTGTATTGGTCGCGAGCGCAGCCTAGCCCCGCCCGCATCGCCGCCCCGCCCCCTCGTAGGGTCCCGCAGGTCCCAGAATTGGAGCGGCGCGGAGACCCCGCCCCCGCCCCGGTCCGTCCGAGCCACGCCCCTTCCCCGCGTCTGCGCTGGGTCGGGGTCCTTTCCTGCTTTGTTAGTCTGGGACTCTCGGGCTATGCTTTTTCTATAGCTGGAGGTTGCCTGGGGTGGGCTGATTGCTTTATGTGGGCTCGGGCTCCCCACATCTCGCTTGTCCGCCAGTTGTGGCTAGGAGTACACATTATTTTCCCTCAGGAAGGCAGTCTCTTTTTGGAGAAACCGCGGACTCAGAACCCCTAGCCCCTCTCCTCTCTTTTTGGCAGTAGTAACAGTAGTTTCTGCCTTCAAGTAGAACACTGGTAAAATGTTAACTTTCCCTTCAGTGGCTGAGTGACCTTTGGTAAGCCGCCTGCTCTGGACTCGAGTTTCCTCCTCTGCAAAATGAGAGTAAAGATAGTAAAATCCCTTATAAGGTTGTTTTTTGCATAACAGATTATTTGTGTAAAGAACCTGGCACAGGGCCTGACACAGAACGAGTTTAATAATTGGTACGTAGGATCAACATTGTTTCCCCCTATAGTCCAAGCATTGAAGAAAGATGTGTGGGAGGCTACACAAAATTAATAGCCATTAAAGCAGGCCTGTGTCCATGGCAGTGCCCAGAGAATGGGAAGTTGTCTCAGTTGGGGCTTCAGGAGAGGAGGCTTGGAGGGCCATCATTGCTTCCATGCCTGCAGTCTCACTGCCAGCCGCTCAGCCTCTTATATTGTTATCACAGTGATCTTAATACAAGAGCTTGATCTTATCGAAGCTTTTCATAAAACCCTTTAGTGGCTCCTCATTGCCCTCAGGATAAATCAAGTCTAGGGGCCGGGGATTTAGCTCAGCGGCAAAGCGCCTGCCTGGCAAGCACAAGGTCGTGAGTTTCGTTCCCGGTACCGGAGAAAAACCGAGAAAAACCAAAAAAAAAAAGGATAAATCAAGTCTGGATTCCTCAGCACAGGCATTCCTGGGGTTACCTCTTTGATCACTATGTCCTTACTTTGTGCAGTGTGAGTTTTCTGTTCTGGGAACACCCAAGGGCTTGTGATTCTCTGCCTGCTTCTTTGCCTTTGTTTCTGCTCTTTCCTGTGCTGGAGATGCCTTTCTTCTGTGCTGCCCAGCACTGCCCTCTTGCTTGGCTAGCTCACCAGGTGAGGCATAGCTCAGATGTTTCCTTCACAGAGCTTTCCCAGACCCTTCTGCTACCACCTTGTGTTCCTTGGCTGGAGTCTAGGAGGGGAAGGCGGCGCCTAGCCTCCCAAAGAACAGATGGCTGTGACCAGCTATTTTTCCCTAGACCTGCGTCTGTTGCCTTGAGCTTTTGGACTTACAGAAACAAAAATATTTATCGTCTTTGGAGAGCCTTAAGCTGAAAAGGTCTGGAGCTGCCTTCTCCATGGCCAGGAGGGCAGAAATTCTCTCTCTGCCTACGTGGGCAGCCTGATGGTCTCGGTTCACATTTCTGCTCTCTTATTGGCTCCCTGTTGTTGGCAAGTTGTTGAACCTCCCTTGAGCCTCAGGATCCTCCACTAAAGTGGGAATACTAACGGAGCTTACCTCCTGTGCTTGCAAGGATTGGCAGAGCAGTGGCTGGATGTGTGTGCCTGGCACAGAGGGGGTGCCCTGCTGGTGCCTTTCCTCCTCTGGTCCTCCTCCCCTTGCTATTTTCGAGGCTGGAGCTTAGAATTGGAAGATGTCTCAGAGGCCCTTTTGTCCTGCATCCCTCTGCTAGCATGAGGGCCTTCCCTGCTGTGGCACGCTTCCCCCAACAGCCTGGCCTGTTGGAGGCACCTGGGATTGTTGGAAAGCACTTTCCTTTCTTGAACCACAGTAGGCCTTCCTGTCACTTCCACTCTCAGGTCAGTAGTTGGTGTGTCCTGGCCTGGCTTAGTTGCTGGGGCATCAGAAGTGACTCATGCACAGGCCTCCTTCAGGGAGCTGGGGTTTTGAGGAGGCAGGGCTTATAAGCAGGTGGTTTCAAAGTGATGTGGTAACCGCAGGGCTGGGGATTGAGGTGGTGGTTATAACACAGAGCAAGTAATCCCTCTTCCTTTCTTCAAGAGTCAGCTTTATGACTTCTTCCAGTCTCTTTTCTCCAAGGAAAACACTTCCAGGGTTTTCCATTGTTCTTCCATCTGATTTCCTGTCTCCTGACCTCTTAGTTCCTCCTGACCTTGTGACCTCCCCTCACTTAGCACCTGTCCCAGAACTGAGTGGAGGTGAAAGAACTCAAAAGGAGATTGGGACACTGATTCCCCAGTCCATTTGCTTTCCCTCTTCAGAGGGTTCCTCCAAGCTGACATGGCTGCTCCGAATGACAGTCTTTGGGAACCCCAGAGTGACGGTGGAGAAGTGTGTACGATGCCCATATTTGGTTTTGGGGGTGGCTTTCTCTTATACTTAAAATCCAAACTACAGAGCCCAGCACTGTGGGAGTTGACAGAGGTGAGCAGCTGATGTTGGCATTTCAGTCAGCTGGAAGACAGCTGAGACTGCGGTCACTGGGAACCCTGGGCTCTAGACCAGGCAGGGAAGCCCTGGAGCTTCCTGCTGGGAATCCCACCACCCACCAGCTGGGGCTGCCCAGGCTGAGGGTAGTCTGCCTGGGCCTTTGACCTGCAATCTGCTGTTACCCTCATTTTCTTGGGCCAGTGATTACAGTGCTTTTGGAACACCCAGCTCCCCTTCATTTCTCCGGGGGCTCCCACAGCACTGTACTAACCTGTTGTTGTGGTGCCTTTCAAGGTTTTACTCCCTGTTGCCAGGGCCTGGCAGGGATGAGTTGCCAAATGAACTGTCTGGAGTCCCTTGGAAGTGTTGAGGGCCTAGGCTACAGTTGCTCTGAGGTTTGGCCCAGCTGTGCTAATAACTCCCATCCAGAGAATGGTCCACTGGGTCCTACCTGGGTCCTTTCTGGTTTTTTGCAGTGCTGGAGATGGAAGCCCAGGCCTCTTACATGCCTGGCAAATGTTCTGCCACTGAGCTACACATCCCAGCCCAAGCAGCCTTTTTTCTTTTTGGTCTTTTTGAGACAGGGTCTTGCTATGCAGTTCAGGCTGGCTTTGACCTCACTTTGTAGCCCAGGCGGGTCTGAAACTCACAACAACCCTCCTGCCTCAGCCTCCCGAGAGCCATGCCTGGCCAAGCAGCTTTTTTGAAGGCACCTCATGCTGCTCTCATGTTCAGTGAGCTGGGTGTGGTGATGCACGCCTGTAATCCCAGTACTCAGGAGGCTGACGCAGGAGAATCATTGCAAGTTTGAGACCAGCCTGGGCTACAAAGTGAGCTCGAGGCCAGCCTGAACTGCATAGGGAGACCCTGTCTCAAAAAGACCAAAAAAAAAAAAAAAAAAAAATCATGTTTAGTGAACATTTTTTTTTTTTGAGATAGGGTCTCTGTAGTTCAGGCTAACCTTCAACTCACTGTGTAACCTAGGCTGGCCTTGAACTCTTGGGGATCCTCCTGCCTCAACCTCCTGAGTTCTGGGGTTACAGGCATGTGCCACCATGCCCAGCTGAGGGAACATTTTTAACAGTAATTTATTTATAGGATTAATGGGGCCCTGGGGCAGAGACAGGTATTTTATTCTTAGAGTAAATTGAAGGCCTCAGATAGATCATAGGGGAGGTGAAAGGTTTTGCATTTCCAGACTTTATTGTGAGCCTGCTCTTTTACTGACCACTGGCTAGCGTCCAGGAAATATTGGCATCACCTGAACCCTCAGGAAGCTGTCACTGGCACCAGGAAAACAGTGCTGCGGTTGCAGGAGGGTTGGAGCTTGAGGGAGGTCTGACAGATTCATGGTGAGCTGCAGAAAGTACAGAAGTAAGGGCTAGAGCAAAGGGGACCCTTGAGGGGGATGGATCCAATGGATAGATTCCGGGCTCTTGTGGACAGTGAGGAAACAATTTCCAGCAAATATCCGGTAGTAAGTAGTAAGTGCCTACATTTATTGAAGATCAAGGGGAAGGTAGTAACAGCTACAGGAAAAGGGGAAGAAAAGGGACCAATAACTCATGATTTCAGAATTTAAAGGCCAGATACCTGCTTTTGGTGCCTCCACTGGAGGCTAAAACGTGGTGATCTCCTAGGCTTTTGTTACGTTATTCTTATCTCTCTTAGGATAAAGGTAGTAAGGTGCTGTTTACAGTTAAATGGTGGGAAGGAAGTGGCTCATTTTGTTTCTGACTGTACTGTTTCCTCCTGAGAACCCTGGTCCCTGGAAATCTTTGTTGGGGGTTGAAGTAGGAAGTTCCATCACTTCTGAATAGGGATGTTGACCCCTACCTACTTGGAGACCAAGAAAAGCTCGCCCTGACTGAGCTGTGAGTTAAGGGAGCTAACCCCTTCCTCTGAAGATTTCTTGAACTGTGGATGTGGAGGCAAGTTTTGATCTTGAGTTATGGTCATCATCAGTAGTTTGGTGGCTGTCACACAAGAGGAAACAAATTTGACTAAGCGATTAAGTATGTAAGATCTAAACAGTAAGGCTATGAGAAGCATTAATAAAGGCTGTGTCCAGGACAGTAGCCAAGAC